TTGAAAATGAAAATATACCCTGAAAAAAATAAATAAAAAAATGAAAAATACCCTGGGGCCTTAATGACCTTCCCTAATGGCATAATTAACACTAACTCCCCCCCCCCCTTTAGCTATCTCCCAAAGCTACTAGTCACTTATTAGCATAAGATTCGCTCACTCACAGGACAGTGTATTTGCTTGTCATGTCAGTGAGTTGAACCCTTCTGGCACGTAAGGAATTCTTGGATTTTTTTTTCATGACATATATTTTATTATCATTATTATTTATTATCATTATTATTATTATTATTATTATTATTATTTTATTATTGTCATTATATCATTATCATTATTATCATCATTATCATATTATCATTGTTATTGTTATTATTGTTATTATCATTATTATTGTTATCATTATCATTATCATTATCATTATCATTATCATTATCATTATATTATTATTATTATTATTATTATTATTATTATTATTATTATTATTATTAATTATTATTTTATTATTATCATTATTATTATTATTATTATCATTATTATTATTATCATTATTATTATTATCATTATCATTATTATATTGTTATTGTGATTATTGTTACTGTTATTATTATGTTATCATCATCATCATTATTATCATTATTATTATTATTATTATTATTATTATTATTATTATCATTATTATCATTATTATTATTATCATTCCGTTTGCGTGTGTTGTCTGGATTTTGAACTTTGATTATTGTAATTCTTGTTGATCTAGTTCAGATTTCTTTTTTATGTTGTTTTAAGTCGGTGGGTATTTCACTCATCATTACTACTATCGGTATTACAACTAATTCTTATATATTACTATGACTATTATTGTTATCGTCATTATATTATTATGAGTATCATTATTAATATTAGCTTTATTATTATATTATTATTATCATTATCATTATTTTTTATTATTACTATTATTATTATTATTATCATTATTATATTAGTATTATTATCATTATTATTATCATCATCATTATTATTGTTAATATTGTTGAGTATTGTTGTTGATAATATATCGTTTTTTGTTTATCATTTTTATATCGTTTTTTGTTGATCATTTTATCATTAAATTCTTTACCTCTTTATAAATCACATTTTCAAAGTCATTATTATTCTATATCCAATTCGCCATTACTTACCTTTGAATTATAAAAATCACTTGACATTCTATAATATAATTTCTAGAGTATAAACTTACAATATGATGTATTCCTATATCAATGATGTATATTGGAAATTCAACATTAACGATACAATATTATACACTTCTTGATCTGAACATTATTTCTTAATCAACCGCACATCATAAAATAATCAAATTGCCGTGGAATTACTAATATTAATTCTATTCATCATTTTCATTTTCATCTTCATCATCATTATCATATTATTATTATTATTATTATTATCATTATCATTATTATCATCTTCATCTTCATCATTATCGTTATTATCATTATTATTATCATCATTATTATATAATCTTCATCTTTTATCGTTATTTTATTATTCATCATCATTATTATTATCATCATCTTCATTTCATCCATATTTTCATTATTATTATCATCATTTTCATTATCATCGTTATCGCTATTCTTATCATTTATCATCATTATATTATCATCTTCATCTTCATCATCATTATCGCTATTCTCATTATCATTATCATCATTTTTATTATCATAATTCCACGACTGGGAACAAGTCAGCGGAGGGGAGGGAGTGGGGGGGGGGGGAGGCGGAGTAGAATTACGGATGTTTATGTAAAAAATAAAGAAAACTTCCGGTGGTTTTTATTCGGATTATGGATTAGATCGTGGGCGGGATTATGTGCGGGATTTAGATCGATAGATAATGAGTTGATTGTTGACCTACATAGACAAACAGCTAGTTGTCAATTTGAAAAAATAGCCAAACAATGCTACGTGGAATGAATCTAGGGCAAAACCGCTACTTGTCAGCAATAAAAAAATGACTAAACAATGCTACGCAGACTGAATATATGGCAACACCGCAAAACCGCTAGCTATTTTGATAAATGCAACACCGCAAAACGTTAGTTGTCAACATTGAAAAAAAAAAACTAGCCAAACAATGCTACGCAGACTGAATATATGGCAACACTGCAAAACGCTAGCTATCAACATAAAAAAAAAAAAAGAAAGAAAAAAAAAGCTGAATATATGGCAACACTGCAAAACCGCTAGCTATCAATAAAAAAGAAAGAAAAGAAAAAAAACTGAATATATGGCAACACTGCAAAACCGCTAGCTATCAACAAAAAAGAAAAAACAAAAAAGAAAAAAAAAAACTGCTAACCAAAACAATGCAACGCAGATTAAATCAATGGCAACACAGCAGGTGGGTCCGAAGTGTCGAATTAGCCCCCCCCCACCCCCACCCCCCCCATTACCGCTACAAATAGCAATCAGGTTAGCATGTTTGGAAATAATTATGA